TTTGGGTCTATGTTTAGTAAAGGCCCCAAAAGGTTAGCCTTTTGTTCCTGGGTCCTTTGGGCGACTGAGACAAACCTATGCAACAACATGATGTGACCAAGTGTCTTCATGAGTTGGTTGCAGTTACAAAACATTTGGTTGCATTGCACTCCAAGATATTCTGCTTTGAGAACAGACCAGCCCCCCCAATGCGCAGCTTTACCCCAATAGTACCAGGATAGCATGTCATCCTTCAATGATACCACCGCCCTTCAGACCATTTGGTTTACTGTTGTGTTTTTGTTTGTTTGCTTGCTTGCTGGCTGGCTGGCTGGCTGGCTGGCTGGCTTGCTTGTGTGGTTTGTGCGCTTGACATGCGGGGCTGGTCTTCAGCCTAGGTCAGCAGCCGGCGTTAGAACAGCTCGACAAGTCGTTGCTCATTGAAATCATGCGAGGCGCATTGCTGAGAGTTGCTTCCGATGCTTCGGTGCCGGATGTGCTTGCATTGCAAGCCGCACACTCAACAACCCTGGAAAGAAACAAAACGTGCACCCATCCGCCCACTCTCGGATGTTTCCCTCTCCAACCAGCTACTGTGGCCAGCCAACTATTCAAACATGCAAACAAGCCAAGCCCTCAATTACGACCTCCGCCAACCTATAGACCCCTACAAACCCAACAACCCCACCACCCCACCACCCTCCAACACATTCCACTTGCAATGCGCGAGACTCTCAGCACCTGCCCCCTATGTTTGAAGTTGGAGTTTATCGCTGCTGGCCAAGGTCATTGGGGTTGACCCCTTGGTCAGGTAAGTGACTAGCTCACATTTTCGCTGACAGAAGGCACACTCTTGTCACACGACCCTGCAGGTTTCATTCAATCACAGCTGTGGTCGCCAAAGGATCCAAGGGTCTAAATTTCAAGAGCCCCTGCAGACATCCACAGTAGCTGTTGCCAGGTGTGCATGGATGATAGGCTTGGTGGAGTCGCACTTCAGACCATGACTGCAAGAAGAATTGCAATGTGAAGGTTCCTTCGACCGGATGGTTCGCTTGCCACATCGCTAAGCCATAGCTGGCAGGACATGACTTTTTAAGGCAGCGGAGTATTCAGTGTGTTGCCTTGTCATTGAGCTTCAATGACCCCTGCGTTTCACACGTTTCAGGCAAGCGACAACTTGTTGCAACCCTTTAGCTCGTTCCTGCTGGCATTGAGGCTTTGTTACCAGGATCCAGCCAGGAATGTTGCATGCTGTGGATGTGTGCCAGGTGTGGCAGACCGTCTACATCCCAGCCTCCCACATTCACAGGCTGTTATTTGGGCGGCTGCAGATGCCCTCGTTATTGAAATCATCATATTTCCAAAACAAAGATGGACGTCGTAGGAGGGTCTTCATTCCGTGTCTATGTGCTCCTTTCAGTAGAAACTCTGTGTGTGTGTGTGTCAACTTTAGCATTAAGGTTTGACATGGGTTTATTGTCTCAGTATTGTTCGGGTGCCTTGTGTTTTGTTTCTGCTTGAGTTTGTTCCTGCCTGTGTTCTAGTCTTGCGAGTGGACCAGGGCAGATTGCACGTTGACAAACGAATCACCGTGATGATTGGGACGCATTTACAACGCGTTCCGAGTCTGCTTGATTTGCATTGGGCATCGTGCGAGGTTAGTCTTACGCATTGTTGAAGAGTTTGACCATGGGTAGATATTGACAGTCTGATGGCCCTAAGGCCACATAGTTGTGCCAGCCTGACAAGCGCAGCACCCCAAAGACCAACCGCATAGATATAGAATGGTTGAGGAAACAAAGGACAAATGTAGCGCATGCTACCTGCAAGCTTCAACGTTCCCCTTTGCTTGCAGGCAGCGTGAGGGAAACGCTTGGTTTGTTGCACAATGCACGCCCTCGAACGAATGAATTGGAGGGGTAAGTGACATTTCGGCGGCAGAATGTCTGACCCGAAAGGCGCCAAGCCATGCGGGCGCCCGAGTTCGAAAGATTGCAAATACGCAGCCGGACGTTATGTTATGTGGTTGAAGGTTTCTTCAATGAGGCGCAGATGGTCTTGCTACTACACATTGATCTCAGCTTTCTTTCCCAACTCTCGACTTGGCTTGATTTTGACTAATGCGGAAAGAAGAGCCACGTAGCTTATATGTATAATACGTTCGTCCTTTCAGGCTGTGCAGCTGGGATGAGCGGCGACGGACTCAGGGCGCTTCCATGGGACCAGGGCTTCTTTGGCATGGAGCTTGTGCAACTGGACTGTGTTTGACAGTGTTTGTTTCCCTTGCAACTTGGTGCGACTTGGTGATCTGAATTCACTGAGCAGCGTCCAAAACCTCCGTGTACATGTTTAGTAAGAGTCATGTCATATCGTCGAGCGCGTAAGGAAATACTCCACGCGCGTAAGGTGGCGTAAGCTGGTGGCGTAAGCAACACCTCCAAATGTGGCGCGTAAGCAAAAAATCTCCATACGCGTAAGGTGGCGTAAGCTGGTGGCTCAAGCAGAATGATACGACATAGCAAATCATGACACGTTTAGGACATGGCATGCCACTGACTTCTTGCGAGGCGTGCAAGTTGCAATCTGAGCTGTTGCAGTCGAGGGTGTGAGTGACTCCTGGCTTGCAGACCATGGCCATCCAACATGCAACGGATTTAGATGATGGTATCATCTAGCCAGGAAATATTGGACCAGGATTGAAACCCTTTTCGTAGCGGATTGGGCTCGCAAGGCAGACTTGAAACAGGATTGAGCAGCCATGTTTTTTCTATTTGTGTGTCCAGCAAGTCTTTCTTCACGTAAGGAGTTGGAGTTTTGCACAGTCATGCGCACCAGTCGTGCCAGTGCTCGACCCAGGTTGGCTCACAAAGTGACGCCAAGCACGCCCGTCCCGAGCGCGACGCGCCAATGTGAAATAGACGGGTCGAATTGCCCGGGCAGCTGAGCCTCGATCTGATGCAAAGCCTCCAAGTTCAGATCTTTAGTGGCACCCATTTCCACTCGTTTGGCCTGTTCGGTATGTTGTGGCAGTGGGCGTCGAGGTCAAAGTTTGCATGGATCTTGTGCCAGGCAAGCTGCAAGAAGACGCGAGCATGTTGAAAAGCGTCTCTTGGCCATGATTCAGCCCATGTTGGCCCATGCGGGCAGCCTCAACAGTGTGTTCCGCATTGCTGCTTGGATATTCGAGCCTGGCATTAGCCAATCATATCAAGGCGGCTATTTAGGACGTTGAGTCTAAGTTACTTGGAAGGCGTGGCTTACTGCTCAAAGACTGATTGTGTTACCCCATTGCCATGTGGATCCCAAAGGGCTGGTTGCCCCCAAATAAGGCACAACTCATGTCCGAATGGCCAATAAACTTTAAAAAGCACCTGTTGAAGTGGGTTGCTCATATTGCTTATATAAATTAATCCTTAGGCAATGAACCTATGGCCAAAGAACACGAAGAGATAGGTGTCATCATTAGGTTAGCTAGGTCAGACATAGATGGGTCCCAGTGGCTTAGATTAGTTTCATGCCCCACTTAGCAGGGAAACCCACCTATATTTTCCAAAAGGACACCTATGATTGGTGTTTGCATGCAACTTGCACACCCTGTGTGTCTCATGAAGGCCAAAGCAGAGCACCAGACGCAGCAAGCAACGCAGCCTCCAACGCCTGGTCTAGACCATCTCCTTCAACTGGCAGTGGGTCAAAAATGTGTACCCATTTTTGGAACCCTGGTAAGTGGAACCATGGACCAAAACCTGCGGTCCCCTGGTGGTTTAATTTTGACCCATACCCAACTGGTTGTGTGTAACATTGTGTGTAACAGCGCAGCCAGACATGTGCATGACAATGTGTTCAGGGAATGGACAGCATCATTGGCACGCCTCACGGGGTTCGGTGAGGATGGTATCTCAGTTGTAAATTATCCGAAAACATCACATGGGATTTCTGTCTTGAGTTACGATGAACTGAACTCCATGGCAGGAATCAGGAAGCGATGCTGGTACGCGTTTAGTGTTGTATTCCAGTTGATCAGCGCTCTTCCGTGTTTGGTTTTCCGGTACGGCATATCGAAAAGTATGATTTACTGTGGCCACTGGATGCCACTGGGCTGCGATAAACCCTCAGCTCGTGTTAACGCTTGGCCGTTCGGCTCGTGGAGCTGGCACCGAGTGTGGTCCCAGACTAGCGCGGATCCTTGGACAGATTGCGAGAGCTTCCGTATTTCCAATACATCATTCCCAGGCGCAGTGGGAAACTGGGTTTGGTTGGGGCCAGGCAACGGTTCCATGATTTGCTGGGCTGAAATGTACTTTTTTGAAAGTGGAGAGTTCCTGGCTCCCTGTCCTTGCTCATGGGGCTCAAGGCACTGTTGGCATAGATTGAGATTCAGTTCAAACGATTTGCTGTGAGTTGAGTCCTTGACTGTTACAGCTTGCTCGAATCGGAGTTTGTGTGGCTTTTGGACTTCAGTCCTCCAAAGGGTTGCGCAAGTACGATCAAGTAGGAAAATGTATTGTTGAACGCAACTAATAGCCTGCATAGGCTCAACAGACAAGCGAGAGCAAGTCTCATGATTTTCCCAAGCACCATGGAATGTTTGAAACATGATTCCTTGACATTGTGAAAACGAAACAGAACGTAACCCTTGTTGCAGCTTTCCACTTGTGCGTTGGTGAGTCGTGAATGACAAGCTCCCCACATGGCCTTTACTTGCCTCGTCCTGCACGCTCCAGCACCGCAATACAGCAGAAACTCGAACTTGTCGATTCCAACTATAACACAACATCCAGCCCGGTGGATGCAATCAGCGACTTCACCGCATGATGTGAGTCACAATGGCAATCACTACAATTCATGGGGCACCGTGTTGTTTCCAATCCACAGTATTGTCCAGCTTCACTTGGCTCAAACTTGTTGAAACATCATCGAGAGGATAGCGATGCGCTCTCTCATAAGCGACCCATCCCCAGCTTACCGTTTTGAGCCTCGAGCACCAAGCTTGGGGGCAAACCTGAGGCTTGCGCGACATGTATGCGGCCGCGCCCTGTGGGACCTCTCAGGCTCGCTTTTCTCCAGGTGCTGAATTTTCCAGATTGCCCACGAAGGAGCTTCAAGCCTTCGCAAGGTGCAGATATGCTTTCAAATATCATCCGTTTGTGCAAACACATGCGATCCATGCCTGAAACTGCACAAGTGTCAGGTCTTTCGTACGTGAGAGGCCGCCGGCTGAGCCGTTGTCATGCGCAGGTCACAACCTATAGTCAGACGGTGCCTGCCGAGGACCGGGTGTGAAAGGGGAGGAAGGAATGTGTTTCCCAAGTGCTCTTGTTGGAGTCTGCTGTAGCCATCGCCGCTATTTCCGAAACCACGGTTGCCTCCACTGCAGATGTCTTCTGATGCCAGGAACACACGCACATTCAATTCATGTTTCACCCTTGGCCCTTGTCTTGTCGCTAAAATCAGAAGACCCAAGCGACTCTCCAGCGCAGGGGCTTGAAGGTGCACCAGGCTGGGGAGTTGTGATCTGTGGCCTTCCCGACAGGCGTACAGCCTGGGCACTGGTTTCGCGGGCAACGCCTACAGCAGCCCATACACAGGACCGACATGGGCGGCTTGAAATCTGTCAGGTCTTCTTTCACTCCCCGCCCCCCCCTCCCTCCAAAAGGACTGCAATTTGGGTGAGGCGATGACATACTCAAAAGCAATTAATACATCATCAAAGCAGAAGTCCGCATCAAAGCTTTTGGAGCAAGGGGGAGTAGACACATCTGCGAGTTTCACCAGCATGCTTGCAACTTAAGAAGATTTTGAACTTGCGGATCGGCCAAACACCAGTTCAACAAAGTAGCATGAACGGTGACATTGATCCACACAATTTGACCTGCACAGATTTGATTTAGATTCTAGATGGTGTGGATCCATGCAGTGCTTCTCAAGTCCACAGCACGAGTAGGTTCAGAAGCAAGGGAAGGCGGGCCAATGATGGTTTCGAAATCAGCACGTCATGATGGTCTACCGTCTCTTCACCTTCAACTCATTGAGAATGTTGAACAAACACATCCCATGCGCAGGCAGTAGAAACGTAGGTAGCAGCATGCAATGCCCGGCAGGTTCCTACACGGGCAGCAGCTACCCCGCCACATATGCGAGCCAGGCCGGGGGCAGCTATGCTGCTCCTGGCACATTGGCCGGCGGCAGCTATGGTACGGTGACTGGTGCCAGCTATGGGATGAGTGGTGGCAGCTATGGTGGGGTGACTGGCACGATGTCCGGCGGCAGCTACACGGCAGCTGCTCCTGGTACTCTTGCCGGTGGCTACGGAGCCACCCCCGGCACGATTTCTGGCGGCAGTTACAGCGGTGGCACGCTGGCTGGCGGACCTTCGTACGGCAACCTGGCAGAACAGTTTTTACCGTCTTGTCCTTTGAGATACAACTGCAGATTTCGAGATTTGCCAAGGCACCTTCCTTTGTGTTGACAGCGGCCAGCCTAGGCAATAGTTTCACCACCGCTCCTGCACCCAGCTATGGCACCACCACCTATGGTGGCTACTATGGTAGCGGCGGCAGCTCCTATAGCGCAGGAGCCAAACGAGTTCGTGCCATGGGCGGGTGGAGCTTGGTCAAAGAATGCCAAAGGCTGAGGTCCACATCTTGCCTTGGTGAGGAACCGAGCGTGGTAACGTCTTCTGTTCTCAAGTGCGAAGCCAAGACGGTGTTTTCAGCGGTGAAGAAGCACACCAAGTCCCTCTCACCCTTCCCAACAGGACAGGTATCAGATTTGCGCAGGATGCGTACATTTATTTTGGGGCTTTGTCTTCTCCGGCGCGGTGAACCTGGACCTTGCTTATTTTTGCAAACGCAACTGTTGACTCATTGACCAGCTTTGACTCAGGCCTTTTCCTTGCCCGTATGTGGGTACACATGTTTCGTGTGGGCTTGAGGCGGCTTGCTTCATAAGAACATCAACCATCAATCAGCACTACTTAGTGAGTCACTTGAAGGTCAACTTCATATTTGCAGGCATATGGCGAAGTTGCAGAGACGAAAGGTATTGAAGTCCAGGTTGCATTGCATCACTTAATGGCTATTTTTACAGGCCACACAGCATATGAAGCAACTCGAAAAATCCGGGTAACCAACTCATCCAGATGTTGTTTGTTTTCCAAATAATCCAGTTGTTGTTTGTTTTTCTTTTGAGGTAGCCACTTTAAGAATCATCCAGGTTTTAACATGAGGAGCACGGCCGTATCCACCGCATCCCTGTCTGGCCTCGCTTTTGGAGGCGCTCCTATGGTGGGCAGCTCTTCCTTCACGGCAGGGAAGCCCATGGGACGGACGGGGCGAAACGGCGATTACGATGGATGCAAGCAAATCCATGGATGGTCCGTTACCTTGTGCTCGCTCCCTTTGTGCGGCACGAACGGAGTAAACCCTGGTGCTTTGAAGTTTGAACACGTTGGAAGTGCTGCGATGAACTTAGCTGAGAGAGGTCCAGGTGTTGGGGACTTGTGGCGCGGTCTGAGGCTTACAAATAGTTTCCAAATATTAATGAACCCCCTAACATGGGGGTGTCCCTTGTTTTCGGGATTCGTCACTTTTAGAGGGTTTATGCACATGAGCATGCTTCCTGGTTTTGTTTTTGGAGTGGTGGGCCCCTTTCAAACCAAACCAGGATGTTCCCCCCCAAAAGAGGCCCAGGGCCTATCTTCTGTACGAAGACTGTTGTGTAAGAGCTTGTAGACCTGAACAATCATGTAAAGAAGGTGCTCCGGCCGCAACTCCGGCCGCAACTCCGGCCAGAGCTATGGTCACTTGAGGCCTTGCTACTCAAGCCGTATGTCTACATCAATAGATGTCTATGCTATAGATTAATGTGCATGCACTGTGCGCACTGTGCGTGTCATTATATCATGGACATCATGAGGGTGGCAAGAACCAAGACACTAGATGCAAATTATAGAAAAAATGCCCGGTACCATCCATTGCTTGAGTTACTCTGACATAGTATCTGATTTAGCCTTTCTGAAGATTGCCAGCTAAGGCGCTGGAACAAATCTGAATTGTGATAATACAGACGACTTTGTAAGGGACCAGTTGAACCGAAACATGACCATTCTCCCAGTGGCTGCATCCCAGCGCGCAGCTCTGAGGCAGCCCCTCCCATGACGACGGACTGGTCGTCTCGGATTCGGCCAGCGTATGGCTCAAATAGACCATACTGTGCATGGACGACATTCTGCATGGGAAACCACTGTTTTAGATCGCTACGCGATCCGCCGACTGTGGTGCGACGACTGCCGCGACTAAAAAGCCCAAAATGTCATGAAGTTTGGACCCAATGGTGGGTGTGCGAGGAATGCTGGGAATGCAGAGAATGCTGGCGATGCAGCGTGCGAAAAACAGAAAAATCAACCATCAAAAAAGGATGACAGCAACCCCCTTCAAATCCCAACAGCACAATAATGCTGGGGATGGTTCGCAGCGACGCCCCTATACTAATGGGATTTTCGCAAAAACAAGCCAGTTCCTTAGATCGTCGCTACTCTTGCCCCCGCCAAGACCCCAAACATGCCAAATCCAACATCGCTCAAAACAGAAAACGCATCATTGACATCAGCAAAAAACACAACCAAAGTAATGCCGCCAAGACAGCCCTGGTAGTGCTGGGAATGCAGATTCTTACCCGGAGACCTAGACAAGAGCGTTTTAGGCGTTCGAAGACCCCAAACACTTGCGCATTGTGAATACTTTGCTGTCCAATAGTCAATGCGATACCAATGTATTAAAAACAAAAAAAAGATATCGTGTGCCAGATCGAGGCTTGGGTGGGAGCCTTTTTTATGCGTTCGAAGGCACTTGTGAATCCTCAACAAGCGTGAAGATGCAGTGAATCGCCAGAAAGATATCAAGTGCTCTTCGAGGCAGAAACAGTTGGCCAACTGGCAGCTTTCAGAAGTTGTGCTTCGTCAAGGTGTGTATGTTCAACCAATCAATTGTTGCAAAGTTCAGTTTTTAGGAACCATGGCAATCCGTGGCACAAGGGCCACATCCGAGCCACGGCACTCTTCACATGGTCAGCAGTACTGTGTGCTTTGCTTTGCCACTCCCCATGTTGCGTGCTGGTGCAACAGATCATAATAGTAGCTACTCTTCAGCCAACATCGTATGAATGCGAGATTCGGGAGTAAAATCGGATGCAATGTTACCGTAGCAATGCGTATTATATTTGTTTTGGCCGACTCTCTTGTGATTGGCAGCGCCCCTGTTTTGAGTTGTTCGTTTTCGATGGCTTGCCTGTGGCTTGCAGGATCCCTATTCCTCGCCTGGCGCCTAGTGGGGCTGAGTCTCACTGGCATGGAGCATCAGTTGGAAGCATTATGCAGATAGGTAGACCTCAACTAGACCAGAAACCGAAAGCCGCATGTATAGTATCCTTACTGAGAGCGTGGCTGATCTTTCGATGTGTGAAGCAAATGTTTGCTGTGCGGTTTTGATTGTCAAAGTGTCAACTCTCATGGCTTGCCTACAGGAAGCGGTGGATGGAGCATTGGCCATCCATTGTAAGACCCTGGTAGACATGGGTGGAGCCTTTTGTGCGGAACATTGCAGCTTGAAGCTCGTGTTCAGATTCGGCACTGATTTGGCTCCAACGTGCTCACTACCTTGAAGATTGGTCTGAAGCCACGATGGGTTCGTTGGGACACCTCGTTTGGACGCCTTGGAGGCCGGCAGATGGGTTGGAAGTGATCAAAGCGACATGGCTCACATGTACAAGCTCACAGCTTTGGCAGATCACTGAGCACAGTGCAATAAGTGCCAAAACAAGGTCGTTTCCAGCTGGTGTTTTCGATGGCCAATTGGCTGTGGGTCAAAAAGAGGTAACAAATATGGCTTGCCCCGGTAAATGGAACCCAGGACTAAAACCTGCGGTCCTTTGGTGGTTAAATTTTGACCCATACCCATTTCTGGCCGGATGGTTGAAGAGTCCTAGACCACGGATCGACACAGACGCACCCCTCATGAGGTTTAGGGAGAAGAACAGAGTCACAAGGCAATGGGACTTTTCAATGCGAAGATGACTTTTGCGAAATTATCCAATTCAGCTTGCGAGCTTCTCGAGCTTTGCCTCGCGTCAGCTCCCAGGTCGCTGCAGCCGGCGTCCTCCATGATGGTGACGCCTCAGCTTTCCAACCCGTTGCAGTTGGTGGCCCCAGGTTTCCGGGATGCCATGAGGATTGATCTTTGGTTTGTCAAGAACGTTTCAGATGTCCTATTTGGTTGGAACAACGTTGTTTTTCAGAGAAATCCACACAACTGCTCATGTCAACATGCCACTTTGAAATACATGCGAATAAACCTATTGGTATAGTGAACAACCCAGAGCCAGGTCCAGATGATGTTTGCTGGTTCTGATCCTTCAAAATAATCAATTTGATGCACAGTATTGTGTACTGGAACCCTTGCGCAGAGCAGCCCATGCCAACTGACATCATCTAGCTGCTATCTCACTTATTATAAGCGGCTCCAGCGGCTTAGTACGTAGTGATGCTGCTATCCGCGATGAGCTTGATATTTACGTGCCTTTGGAGGTTGGGTTGATATGAAGAGTTGAAGCACTACCTTGAGTCCAAAACATCTGCCGAAACCCCAAGGCACGTAGGCACCACACCTCCACATAAATTGTGTCACATGCTGGTGCGATAGGTAGGGAATGGGAAAGAACTTAGGGATTCCCTTAAAGGAAGCCATGGTTGTTATCGGGGCCGTTCTATTTCTCATTCCCTGCGTATCGTGCCGGCAAGATATTAGGTCTACGCCCTCCATGATCGCCTACCCTGGCATGGGAGCCATGGGCGCCATGGGTGCTCCGTCGTGCCCTGGCAGCCATGGATGTTTCGGAAGCCACGTGCTTCGTTGCTTGCGCCGGGAGTGGTTTAAGGCTAAGACTGCGAACTGTGGACCCTCCACTGCGTGCGACAATGGGATTCGCCTCATTGGACAGTTGAAACTCTGGATGTTTGTTCCCTAGGCGTCGTGACTTGTTTCTGCGAGGCTACCTGTAGCGCTTCCGCATTGATATAGCGAGGAAGCAAAATGGTCGTGGAGGGGGTACCATTTGCTGAGCCAAGCTTTGCACTGCAGGTATTCTTCCGCCATGGACGGCGCAGAGCCCAGCTTTTGATGCCTGAGGTACAGGAGAGCCATCCGCCAACATGACAATTGCTTAAGAGATGATGATGTTCCCCTGTTGGTTTTAAAGATAATCTATCACTAGTGGATATATGTGTTTTCTTCCAATGGAGGCAAAGTGACATTGCTTATTCCTTTGTTTGCGTTCCTTTTGCAACGCGACCAAGCTTGACGTGCCCACAGGCGCTAAAGGCAAAATACGTACTTGGGGTCCGCATTTCCAGGGAGACCTGTGTAGGGCTGCTCAAATCCTGCCGTATGACCAGCAAACCCGCTCAAGAGAACCCCTGCAGCCTGCACATGCCTGCCAACTGATAAGCACGCTCGCTCAAGAGCACCCGGTCAGCTGTGCACACATGCCTGCAATTGACAAGCACTGGCACAGCACTGCACACATGCCTGCTAAGCTCGAGTTTTTCCACTTAAGAGCCTCCTCAGCCTGCCAAATGATCGACACACTTTTGCTCAGAAGCAACGCGTAGGCACTGCACACATGCCTGCCGAAAGATACACGCACAAGCTCGGCTCTCGTCGATTCTCAGCGACTTGAGTTCAGTCAACACAAATCCTTCCTGAGCAGAACGGACAACGATGCAATGCGATCCATGCTTTGGGATGAGCACATGTTTCATCATGAGGGGAGCCACATTTAGTGAGCTACTGGATTGAGAAACTCCGTTTTGTGTCAAGAATACCTGGGATGCAAGTTCTAGTTGAACAGGGTAGGTCCTATTCTATGTAGACCCAATCGATCCATTTCAAAGAGGAAATACAGCAGGATGCAATTCCCGAATGAAGAGTTCGAGTCGTGCAATCTTCTTCTCTGAATCTTTGTTTTCGAGCCTTTTGGAGATTATGGCACAGCCTGGTAGCTCGTAGGCCCCCCTTGCTCAATTGGAGTTGCAAGCTTTGTAGGCTTCAATTGTCATGGGACCCCTTTTTGATGCGTGTCAAGCAGGGGATTACAAATAGAAGACGACATGCATTGTCCTTCGCAGGTAAGCGGAGTGCATCAGCACCAATAGTTGTGTTTCTGATCTGTGGCAGGATTGCATGGTATGCAGTAGAGGATTGCGTGGTTTTTGTTTGATGTATTTTCTTTAGTCGCTTCTTGTTTTGTTTCTTTAGTTTCTTTGTTCTTTTGCTTGAAGTAGTGGTTTTCTTTGTTCGAAGAGTGTGCCTCGCTGAAACTGAGGGCCATTCAAGTTCTACGCCACGCCGCCTGGCAGCTTGGCCGCACAGGTTCCTCGTGGCACCGTGGCATTGGGTCCCCAGGTTCTTTGGCTCCTGGTTGTGTCTCTCCTGTGTTGTCAGGGGGAGCTTTACATGGACAAAAAGGTGACTTGCAGTCTTAAGAGCCTTAAGTGCAGGGTCAAGGTCATACGTTGTTCTTGCCCTTGCGGGAGATGGCGTGTCATGGGCTCTACATTGATTTTATGTTTGTGCTTGCACGTGATAGACCTTGTAAACTGAGTCTAATCCGCCTGGTTGTGAAGTGAAAATGAAGCCTGGTTGTGAAGTGAAAATGAAGAGCCTGCACAGAGGTGTACTAGGGAGTCGGTACGTTATCTTTGAGAACCTCATCATGTTCAAACCGATATATACAGTGAGCGCGCACACTGACACCGGCGATCATGATGCCACCCTATCTCAGCTGAGATTGATCTTGACATATTGCTTGCAGCAGAGATTGATCTCAGCTGAGATTGATCTGGCAACTCCCGCAATGCCTCTGAGCTTGTGGCTCGAGCGCGACGGCCTTGCTGCAGACTCCAACAACATTGGATTCAAGTTTTCTGGAGCGCTTGGACAAATCAGCCTGGAATGGCATGTAGCCCGTGGTGAGTGTGTCCAATTCGGTTGCACACTATGACAACATGGGTTTGCCTCCGAATGAAACATCTTCCAAACAACAAAATGGGGGGAGGGGTTTCTTTGTGGCCAAAATGGGATGTTACGCTGAAGACGCCTCTCGTGCTTAGCTGCTTGGCCGTCTGAGGCAAGCTGCCTGAGGCAGAACAGCGCCTGGAGCCCAATGAAATGAGTCGTGTTTCTCAACATTCTTTGGGTTGGCGTCCATTCGGTTTCCCTGAAAGGGGGGGGGCAAGCCATTTTCATAAACTCCGAAACTTGGATTTCCTTCAGGCTCAGTTCGCATCGCTTGGATACATGTTCCAAACGGTTGGCTGTCGGCAAAATGAGATTGTTGCTGCAGATGTCAAGATGCCACAACGACATGGGTTAAACATGTCGCAATTTGGTTGATTGTATTGGGGGGGGGCTTTGCAAGCCTGATTGTCGAGTGTGTGGATGCCCTATTTGCGCAGTGATGGCTTTGGACAACTTGCGATACACATGCAGAGTGCTGTAGGGTAGAGGGCATGATGATCTTCACAATTATGTTTGTGTGGGTGCGCATCAAAGATAGGGCCCCTTAAAAACCATGGGTGTTCTGTTTATGCTCCATTAAACCTTCACCCAAGCCTAAGTTTGTTCCCAATCGCCACACTTCCCAGTTTCGGTATGCACCGAGGCCCTGCGGCCAGGATGGAGGACGAGGTTCAGACGGGCGCCTCCCTGCGAGCAGGAGCGCTTGAGAATTGTCAGGAAGGTCAGAGGTTCAAATTGAATTAGATACGGAATGGCAGGATCTTAGGAAATTGGGGAAAGATTCATAAGATTCTCAAGTAGCCAAGGCAAATCTGTGAGAAAAAGGATTTGTAGATGGAGGCCGTGAGGATATGTTTTTTGTCCAGGTCTGTTTGTTTTGGCGACTTGGATGTATCAAGGAAGACAGAGAGCGGGGAATCAGATAGATGGCTGGTTGATGGGGATCATGTGCAACAAAGCAAGACAACAGTTTCTAGCGGTGTGTTTCGGGAGCCCTGGTGGACGGCATGTGAGTGTGTGCTTCCTAGAGTTGTATGGACACAAGAAATGTTGAGAATCGCAATTGTGCCATCATATGTTGATACACAGGTAGCGTGCAAGCAGGAATGTGTCATACTAGGCCCATTCCCATGTGATGGTCCGACCCATTTGACGGACGATCGCAGGCGCTTCTGCACCCAGAGGTGATGAAGGCTATGAGAGCCTGGAGCTTAGCCTGGTGCGGCCAGGGAATGAGCTGAGAGTTAGAGCTACGTCTGACTTGGGCATTGATCATTTGCAACGATCTGCATGTTTCCAAGAAGGCTAATGCTTTGATTTGTGTTTTGGCTGGCCATCGGACGTCAACAACCAAAATGAAGCAAAGACGCGTAATATCACGTGCTTCACTAGATGTTGGACTTTCGCTCGACCCGAGGTTTTATATAAATTGATTCGGGTTTGGGGGTCGGGACAAACAGTTCGAAGGGCAGGGTTTATGTGGCTTGAGTTTTTGCCTCGTTTCAGTATCTGGCATTGGCAGTGGGGACTTGGGTTTGACTGCTTGGGTCGACAGGTAGGAAAGCATCCCACCGCTTGACAGAATGCTCGGCCTTTTCCAAATTTGAGCTTGCCGACTGAGAGAATCCTGGATAAAATTAAAGTCTACTCAATTAGAACTGGAGGCCAAATAAGCTGGACTGTTTCAAGTTCTCCCTCGGAGTTGGCAGCAACGGCTTGAGGTAAGAAGTCCGTTAAGAAGTACACCTCCAAGAAGAAGAAGAGCGGCCGGGCGCATAGCTATGCACGACTGCGCAGATGGAGTTTGGCGTTTGGTGGCAGGTTTGGTGGCAGTTGTGCACAGAGTTGCTGGCGATTTTTCTGGTGGGAATTGGGGGGGTGCTGATACATATTATATATATATATATATATAACGGACAGCCTGGTAGGTTCTGGCTAGCTTCCAGGTTTCTTCGTCTCAGTTGCTGCGCGAGTAGTTTCTTGTGCCCTGCTAGAACTGCTTACCATACCCAAGAGCTTTGGATTTTAGTTTTTTTTCCCCCACCATACCAGCAACGAAACCGAGTCTTGTCTGCCATGATTCAGGCATTCTTCCAATGTAGATGAGGCAAGCTTGGTTGTGGGTATTTAACAATCCACCCAACTTGCGGGGCAGGGGGGTGGCCATAAACAAGGGATAAAGAGGCCATGAAACTAGCAACGGAAGTCCAGGGATCACCCCCATCCTCCGAATCCATGTTTAAGGGGGTGGGATGTTCGAAATAAGTAAAATAAACCATCTACAGTATAAAGTGCCGGCAAGACTTGACAGCCATTGGAATGTCACCAAAGGTAGCCTCAAGGAGGCTAGCTTGAGTTTGTCCTTGCGTTAGCAAGGCTAGACTGAGTGGGTTTGGGGGTCGGCTCGGTGACAAAACCAAGGAGCACTTGCCCTAATCGCCGCTCAGATTTTGCCTGGATTGCTTGATGCAGACTTTGCCTGGATGACTTGCCACAGATGTTGCCTGGGTGGTTTGCTGCAGATTTTGCCTCGGTTGTTTGACGCAGATGTTTGCCTGGATGGCTTGCCGCAGATTTTGCCTGGGTTGCCCTCTTGGCGGTGTCCTACCTTTCGTGTTTCCCTTTGACGCCCTCCACTATCTTGGGGAGACTTTTAGTTGCTAGCAATTGCTATTTGTCGTTGATCACGCAAAGCTAAGACCTGAAGGACGGGGCAATCGGGCTTGTAACATGCCGGGGATTTGTTTCAAGTCACATCAGTCAGGCCGCGGACCCTTGGCATGGGGAAGCTCGGGTAATGCCTTGTATTGAGTGGTGGACATTTGCAGACAAGCAGTCAAGAGTGGAGCAACATACATGCTACTAGTACCAGTACGCACGATTGACTCCATTCCTTGCTTGCAGATAGTTGCCGCCCTTGCGGCTATGGTGAGCTTTTAGACATGTAGAGCAAGAACAAGAGATGGCTGCTTCACGGCCTACGCCCAGAGAGCGACGGGTCTGATGCTAGCAGATGCTTGTCTTCCAGCGCTTGCTTCGAGGTTGCTGCTGAGCATTCGCGGGATTCGGAAGTGGCGCTCTCAAGCAAAGGGGCTTGAGCGTTCCCATTCCTGAGGAGGTTGGCTTCAGGCGAATTTGGATCGCGTGGGTCACGAATGGTGTGGTGAAATCTATTGGTTTTGGCTTCAGAGTTTGCCGCTGTACTGCACTGCCAAGAAAGAAAGCAAGCGCACTGTATATCAAATGTATTCTGCTATTGACAGAGGCAGCACAGCCATGATTTAGTTGAGGGGCCCTTCTTCGTGTTGGCTCTGGTAGTGGACCAAATCTGCCAACATGCACCGACGACACGTTGACATCAGTTGCCTCCATGTTGATGCTGGAGCCGCCAGTTGGCACCGATGCCAGGGTCGATCTGATCATAGAGTGGGAAGGCCAGTTGAACCGAATGGGACAGGCAATGCCTTATTCAAAAGCTAACCTTGTTGATCCCCAAACAGTCCATCCGCCAACTCTTACAGGTCTGTCTTATGTATCTTTGGTTGCTTCAGATGATCCTGTTAAACGAATTTTGTCTGGGCAACGCTCAGCTTTAGTAGTCAGTCCCGAGTTTTCTGAAGCTTCTCTCGCAAAGCATTTTGGGTTGCCAAGCAGGACAGATTCATTCCCACCCACGCGCAAAACCCGGGTGTGAGAAGGGAACATTACCGGGAGTACCTGAATGGAGGCCAAGCGTACAGGAGCCAAGGAGATGCTAATAGATGCTATGCCCTTTCCATCTGAGAGCCTTGTCTATTCGTTGGCGAGGACATGGAGCAAAAAAAATGATCTCCTCAGTTGTTCAAAGCCGACCTTCTAACCTTTTGGTTTTCCCTTTCTGGTCCACTTTTAGAAAAGGTCCCAAAAGGTTAACCTTTGATTTCCAGATCCTTGGAACAACCGAGTCTCCCACCATGGCAACCCACCCCAAGAATTCTGCGATTCGGCACCATCGGCCCGTAAAGCTGCGAGCTCGACTCGGACCCTGGACTCGCGACATCTCTTTTGCAAAGAGACGAATGCACGGGCAAATGGACCAAAAGACGCGGAAAAATCCACCCGTCGCCATGGATACTTCCCTGCCTTGGGGGATATGTACACACACACATACAAACATATGTATATATATATATATACTCATATACCATGGACACATAAAGTGGGAAAATGAGCACTAGCCCGTTCCAATCATCATGTTCAATATTATTACATTCCTAGACTATCTCTTTTGTTTAAACAAAGTCAGGAGTCGCCAGTGGGCTTTGAACACAATTTTCCAGATTGACAACTGCGTCTTCAAGCAATATCATGGTTGTGTTCCAGGAAAAACATCCGATACAAGTATCTGTATATATATATATATATATATATGATTGACGTGCAATTACTAAGCATGGTGCGACCAACAAGCGATAAATTCACGCGGCCTAGTGTTTATCTCTATGCACGTTCAAGCCTTGGGCAACAGGGGAGTAGATTGTATGGCCGTATGCCAGCACATCTGAGCAGCGTTTTTTTTTTTTTAAATGCAGGAGCCAAAAGGAGAGGGGAGCTGGCATGGTAGCCGCGTGGCCTACTCCTGGGACCGCGTAGCCTCGCGTAGCCTCCGCGTAGCCACTAGCAAAGGGAGCTGTCGACAATCGTCCGCGTAGCCTCCGCCTAGATCCTTTGTCTTGAGCTCAAGGCTTAGGTTGAAAGCTTGCGTGTCTCAGAGAAAGAGGGTGAATTTGATTTGCCTTGGCCCAGCCAGAGCTGAGTTCGCTCATTCCGCGTAGCCTCAGCGTAGCCTGCGCGTAGCCTCCGCGTAGCCTCCAAGGCGTGTTCAAGGCCACTGGCCCACATGCCTCCTACTACTACTGTTACCATTACTACTACTACTGCTACTACTACTACTACTGCTACTACTACAACTAGCACTACTACTGCTACTACTGCTACCACTACCACTACCACTACCACTACCACTACTACTGCTGCTACCACTACCACTACTACTAGCACTGCTCCTGCTACTAATACTTCTACTACTATTACTACTAGTGCTAGTACTAGTACTAGTAGTAGTAGTAGTAGTAGTAGTAGAAGTAGTAGTAGTACTAGTACTAGTACTACTACTACTACTAGTACTACTACTACTACTACTACTACTACTACTACTTCTTCTGCTACTACGAACTTCCGGTTGCCGACGAGTATTCGCGTAGCCCCGGCGTAGCCCCCCGCGTAGCCACTTATCAACAAATATGTTCCGCGTAGCCTCCGCGTAGCCAAATTCCTAGGGGGAAAGACAGCCGCGTAGCCTCCGCGTAGGTATGTGCTTCCAGTGTATAGGCCCCACACCATTAAAAAAAACACGGCTCATCTGAAAGGCTTGCAATGAGTCTTGCATGGGCATGTCCTTGGAAATTGGCCGTCTGCGGAGTGAAACACAGTTCCGGCACAGAACCTGATTTGACAGCTGCCGCGTGCAACGCAGTGTGTTGTAAGCTTGGCATATTATATACGTGTAATATATTTATATATATATATATATTAATATATTTATATATATATATATATATATATTCATGATATGTATATATATATATATTATATATATATATGTATGCGTTAGTGCGTGAGTGGGTGCGTGGCTGTGCGTGCGTGTGGGTGTGACTGTGGGTGTGGGTCTGGGTGTGGGTGTGGGTGTGAGTGTGGGTGTGGGTGTGCGTGAGTGCGTGCGTGGGTGTTTGTGTTTGTGTTTCTGTTTGCGTTTGTGTGTGTGTGTGTGTGTGCATGTTCATGTGCGTGTGCCGGCTTGTGTGTGTGTGTGTGGTGTGTGTGTGTGGTTTGTATGTGTGTGGTGTGTGTGTGTGTGGTTGCGGTTGTGGTTGTGGTTGTGGTTGTGGTTGTGGTTGTGGTTGCGGTTGCGGTTGCGGTTGCGGTTGTGTGTGTGTGTGTGTGTTGGTGTTGGTGTTGGTGTTGGTGTTTGTGTTTGTATGTGTCGCGTGTATGTGTGAATATATGGGGAAGAGGGTTCCCGGAGATGGCATTCGGTGACTTGACCCGCTGCTATACTGCACCTGTTGTCGCAGCGCACGGCTTAGGATGGCGAGTGTGAAGTGTGAAAGGAGTCGGATCAAGACTTCCGATATGATGAACATGAAGTGAGCAACGCGCACATGCTGCTGGTGCTATCAAGAGAGTGCGCCTCACAGATTCCGCCAAACTATCTTAGACAGCACCATACATGCGAGTTGCTGGTTTGCAGCAGAGACGCCACTGCAGCCGAAGGCTGGAGAGGGGGCAGTTTGGCCACTGTGCTCGATTGAGCAATCCATTGAGCGGCAGCCCAAGGGGAGTGACACACTCCGGCATCCATGTCAATTGAGAATACCTGGGCAAACAGCTTAGTAATATTTGTGGAAGTTCGCTGGACCGGAGAGAGAAATTGAACACTGCCGAAGCACAATCAGCACGGGGACTTGCGATTTTATGATGGGGTGTGGGCGTGGGCAGTGGGGAAGTCGTTTTAAAGGTACGTTGTTTCAACCTGACCTGAAACGGTACACACTTAGACCAAAGACATGTTTCCCCTTTCGAATGATCAAGCTGCCAGTTTGTTGCATCGTTACTTTGATCGAGTCAACAAAATGATCCTCCGTGCTTAGCCATAGTTAGGATGCCAGTCGGCGCTGCGTCGGCTCACACATGCTTGCGCCTTTGCAGGAGGTGAGGTCTTGTAGATACGTAAACAGAGACGCCGCGTACACTTGGGCTGCTGCAGCTCGAAAAAAGTGGCATGTACACTTTGGCGGCTCCAACTTCAACACATCTGTACGTGAAGTAATTGCATTTTGGCAACTCCAGCTCGAACGTTGCTACATTTCAGTACGAGCAGTACTTGAACTGCGACGAAGCGCTTTTGTTTGTGTGTTCGCCCTTGTCCTGTGACCGTGCAATAGGACGCCGCCACCACGATATGACTTGACTGCAACGAAGGAGGGCTATTCATTCTATAACATACGTAATAAGTTCAATGCGCATGGCTAGGCGACAAACACAACGAACAACGCTGCGACGGTTTGTGTGTGTGTGTGTGTGCCTGAGAGAGAGTGTCCTGCAATTGTACTGCAGTTGCGATTTGGGTGCTGACCAAATTAATGTCTATTTTGTGCACGACGCTCATGCTGCAATTGCGGGAATAATCGAAGAGTGGCAGCCGAATCCAAGAATGGCACAAGGGGAGCAATGACAAAGCCTGAAAGGACAAGAAGCTCATGTGTTTTAAAACTCCACATGGAGGGACAAGTGCCATGGCAATCCCAGCATAGTTGACCGTAGACGGGTCAGTTCTAGGATTCGGCCAACCTTCCTGGTTGCGCTCTAAAATGAATATCCAATTGTTTTTGCCCAGGACATGGTGGCATGGTACTGCGGAATGAGGTTAGCCTGAAAGATCCTGCGGCAAGCACTTGCAATCGCCATGTGACGGTGGCATTCAGTAGATCCTCTAGCGTTACTTGTTTAAAATGGTCTCCCCTGACTCCCATTCACATCCACTCACATCAAACCAGAAAGAACAACGTCCACCGTTTTTTGTTTTTTCCTGCAGAGCATCGATTTGTACGAAGAGGTCTTTACTTTTTGTTTGCTCTTGTCCGCTATGTGCTACTCTCAGTTCCCCAAAGCCGAGCTTTTGAGCTTCTGGTTTTCACATTTTAAGGTCCATTACGCCCATTTTTCATGGTTCCAAAAGGTAAGCTTTCAGTTCTGGGTTTTTAAGGGGCAACTGAGTAGCGGAGCCCTAGTTCCGTAGGATTCTCGCGATGCCCTTGGGACCGCCAGGCCATGGAGTTGGAGGTGCTCAGCGTGCAGGGCGCCAACGCCGAGCAGGTCGGCGACCCGAAAAGATGTTGAGCCCATGGCTGCGGGGCAAAACTGCGTGCCCAAAATGGCTTGCCCTGGTAAATGGAAATAAGGACTAAACCTGCGGTCATCTAGTGGTTTAATTTTGACCTGCTGTGCCCGGAGCAGAACATACCCTATTCAGCGATGTGGAATGCATCCAATCGACAATTACACACTCCGGTCTCCGAGAACCCCCGCCCCCCGCACTGTGCAGGTGGTTTCCATCAGAGCTGGCAGCCAGCGCAAGCAAGCAGCGGTTGCCTCATTGGAACAGGCTGGTCATGCTTGGGCCATGTTCCTCTGTGCCGGAGTCTTGAGAGCTGCAACCAGCAGCGAGCAAGGAAGAGGGCGCTACCACTCAACATTGAGATTGAACGTGTTATTGCACATGTCCATACTGGGTTAGCTTCAGGGAGAAAAGGCTCTGATGTTTTGTTGAGTTCTGCAAAGCGATGCAGCAACTCCAGACCGCGCGACCAGCTGTTGTGGATTTAGCAAACGCACAGCGAATGACCAAACGGCCAAAATGAATTGCTTCGACTATTATAATTGCAATCGTCACCTGCTTTCCAAGCAAATGGCGTGAACACGAGTCAGCCTGGTTTTCACACGTGTACTCACAGTGCGCTGCTTGTGGTGAAGGTCACCCTTTGGCAGTGGAC